TATCCGACAACGGGAGGCTTTTAACAGATGACGTCCTGATGTTAGCTTTGCTGCTGCTGTTAGCTGTCCCTGTCAGCTGCAGCCTGATGCTTTCTAGACATTGTGATTTCCCAAAACTGAATAAATACCACACGTAGCAACACAAAACTGCTTTGTTAGCTTAATCATGTTGTAACTAAGATATCCGGTGGAAAAAAAATATTTTTTTCACGGACCGTTTGAGTTATTACAGACACCGCTAACAGCTAACGGTTAGCCCAGCTAATCTACGATAACCACGTTGTTATTTACAAAACATCACATCCCGCCTTGAGTATATCCATTCAGCACCAAGTAATCCCCAAGCCCCAGCCAGGAGTTTCTCGGGGCCGTTCTGAGTACCTACTCCGAGGCAGGGACTTGTTTAGCCCCTGTAAAAGTTCCGTAACTCTGTCCTTCGGGGGTGGTTCCTGCGGTGGAGACACGCACCAACGGCCCCGGCCCCATAAAATTACCCTGAAGTTCCTGCGGTGGAAACGGGCCTTCTGTCTTCATATCATCACGTGATGTTGGGGTGACGTGTCCTGTAGATGTTTCATCACCTGATGGGCTGTTGGATAGCAGGGAACCCTGGCACCTGTCACCAGGGGGAATGACAACCTGGATAAAACATCTACAGGACACGTCACCACAACATCACGTGACGCTTCTGATGATGACGACAGACGCAGTCGTCGAAACTGTCAAGATATGAAAAAACAACACTTAACCTGTAATAAGAACCATATGAAGCTAAGGATAAAAAGTAGACTATATGAATTTGTTTGGACCAAGACAGCAACACTCTATTACATTTGACATTGTTGTCTGCAGCACATTGCCGCTTCACTCCTGTCGTTGTTGATCTGCTGATGACGTGGAGTTGCAGATCCCCAGGTGCCTACAGACGGCAACAAAAGTTTGTTCTCCATCTCTGATTCTCAGTAACGTCAGGAGAATCTCAACTAGATCTCAATGCTGATAGGCTTTCACGACATAGTGTCACAGAATTTTCTTGTGCAAGTTATTCGTATAACTACGCGACAATAGCATGAACGCATCTACTCACATCTAATTTTGGTCTAATTGTCGCTTTTTTGTGACATGATTCTGTGTATTTCTGCATTGATACAGTAAATGTGTAGGTGTACAGCATACCTGAGCTGCACCATCACCACTTTGCAGATAAAACTGAAGGGAGATGAACACTCTCTCTAGTCAGGAGCTAGTCGGCAGGTAGAGCTCTGTGACAGGAGGATAGTGAGACACACTCTGATTCAGTCTTATTATATTTTAATTCTATGAATCTTTTCAGCAAATGTTCCATCCAAGCAAATAGCTCGCACTGGAGTTACAGCTATGAAAGAAGGCATACCTTTATGTTAGTCCCCTGTGGGGAAATTAAATTTTTCCACTCTCCTGTTATTGCCTCCCTTTCCTCCTCTTTCAGGTTTCATATTTTAAACCTGGTCAATCCCAGTTGCACTCTTTGGCCAACATCTCCTGTTCCCTTATCGGTTTTATGTGTCTCGGAGTGCAGGCCAGACAGACGGAGTGGAAGTGTTACATTGTGTGAGGAGGAGACAGTTGTTTCATCTGTTTTAGAGGGAGCGCTCGAGGAGTTGCAGAGAATACAGAGTGCAGGATCAGAGAGCCATCTTTGTTTTTCCTGAACAGCAGTTCCCCCCCAAGCTACCAGTAATGAGCACTGCTGTTCGATAGCACCTTCTCAGCTGAAAAGGCGCCTCCGTATTGCCCGTGCCGCTCTTCCGACGCATCCTCCAACAACCATCCCCCTCCCTCAGCCCATTCATCACACTCAAAATGCCTCTCACTGGCCGAGCTCATCTCCAGCAGGTCGAAGGAAGATTGATTTGTTTGTGTACAGAGGCAAAGAGAGCGCGAGGGAGCGAAGAGCAGCAAAAGGAAAAGGAAAAGACAGTGATGGGAGTAGAGGAAGACTGATACCAAGGTGTGTTTTTGTTTCTGGGTGTGTGTGACAAAGACTCACACTAGCAGTCAGTCAGATGAGCAGATAGACAACCAAGCAGCATGAGTGTGTCTGTGTGTGTGTGTGTGAGAGTGACTCCAGCCCACAGACGGTGTTTTAACTTCTTCTCACTCCCCGCTAGCGTTCACTCACCTGTCTCAGCCTGTGCTGTCTGCCTACCCTTCTTACCCAGCATATTTAATCTGCGCTGCACAATGTGAGCAGAATAGTAGCAGTAAAGGTGTTTTGTCTGTTTCACCTCAAGGACGTTTTCATCTTGACCTGTAAATAGACACATTTTGGATGGATGTCCCCACTGGGTGAGATTTCGTCCCTGTGGGAAGATTTTCATGGGAGTTACAGCAGAGTTACGGGGAGATTTTACAGCTGAGGGTGTCAACAGTCATATTTCTACATCAGTAGGAATAATGTCTGCTTATTGAAGTGATAATAGGATGCAAATAAAAGATTATAAAATGTGTTTCCAGGTAGGGCTGCATTATTTTGGTGACAAGACTACGTCAGAATCCACATATGATTGGACAGTGTTTGAAATGCAAGAGGGCTTTTAATTTGAAACTGAAAGCTTCCCATCAAGCAGTTCAGTTCAGTACGCTTTTTTTCTGTTTCCACAGTGAAAAGTTGTGGATGGTACCAATGTAACCGTTCTGTACCGTCCCCATGTTTGGTCCCCCCTCTGTTGGGGTACCTAGCACACAGATCTGGTACCAAAAGGTGGAGCTGTGAACACTGCAGTCTGATTGGTCAGTAGAGGACGGTCACTCTGCTCAGGGCTGAGTTGTGACTGGTTTTGAGGCTCATGTAACCACTGTTCATACTGGGGAGAGTTTTAAACTATAACTATAAAATGAAAGGATGTTTTGCTGCCTCTTATTCACTGTGTCGACTGCTGACGACTTTTAAGGTGGACTGTTTACTTATAATGTTACTCAATGCATGAGTTGACGACGTGAATCCATCAACACACCTTGAGTTTCAATGTGACGTGACCGAATTTTGTGGACAGCATATATTCTAATCCTCACTCGGAGTAAATAAAGCCTTGTGGAGCGTTGTTCCTGTGGGCTACAGCAACACTAAACCCCTGAGCTTGCCTGAGAAGGACTAAATGCACAAACCTGCTATTTCTAAATATCCCATGGAGAGAGACTCTCACTGCAGCCTGTTATATTTTGTTCTGAAAACGTCGGCATGCAGCCTCGTTCTGTGGACGATAGACGAGGTGCAGACTGATAAAGGAGGAAATACAGTGAGTGCTGGACGGAGCAGTGAGTGACAATAACCCCGCCCACATTTAAGAGGACTGTTTGTGGTGGAAACACTAGGGTCTAGGTACCATGTCTGAAGGGTTACTGTTGGTTCCAAAGGTACCATACTGAAAGTGTTTGGTGGAAACAGGTCTTGAGTCAGACTTTTGCTGTTACAGCGCTGGCCAGGCAGAAGGGACCTGCTTTTTCCTCTCGTCAGCTCCGGTTGAGGATGTTAGTCTCCACTTGACTGGTGGAGGCTGCACAGCTATTGGCCACAACCTGATCCAAGTTACGTCGATAACGACACTTTGTAAAACGCCCTAACGGTGCCGATTAATCGGCCAAACCTGTAGTCACAACTCAGAGGTCATGGGATCTACCACTTTGTCTGTAATTTCAGGGCAACTTCTGGTGGTAAAGGTGCTTTTATGAGACAGAGGACAGGTCAGATGCTTCAACAGTTTTTAGTAGTCTACACTATTTTAGAGGAGATTTCAAAATCGTGATACATATATATATTGTGTATTGCATTAAGGCCTAAAAATATTGCAGTATAATTTATGGTCCATATTTCTCAGCCCTAACATGATATGTCAGTTCATTTGTCTTACTTGACATGACATGTCCTGCAGTGCAACTTTTGCACATGCGTACATTGCAGTGTTGATGCTGAAATGACATATCGTGCAGCTCAGTTTCCAGGTATATATTTTAATCATTCTTGTATCTGTATGTCTCAGAGCCTGGGCGTATCGGGATGTAAATGGACGTCAGCGGCTGTGTTATGATCTATTATGCCTTCATATTGTGGGCTGGGAAAAGAACCTTGGGAGCTCTCAACAAACATCTGAGTCAGCCTTTAGAAACTGAGTTCTGCTCTTGTCAGCGCACCATCTTTCATGTAAATGCGAGGACAAAATGTTTAAGCGATGCAACTAATTTTCATTGAGATCACTTTGCTTTGTAATGGTTTGATTTCATGCCTCAAAGCTGCACAACCAGTCCGCTGTCTCTCTGCATGCCTTGTAAAATGTCAAGGTCCAATTATATTGTCTTTTTTCATTTGGGTTTTCGAATTTCCTTGCCCGGCCCTGAATCGCCGCCAGCGAGCNGTCATGTTTGTAGTCGACCAATGAAGATGAGTTTACATATCACCTTGGGTTCGTCCTTCACCTTCTCAAAATGATCCCACACTTTGGATTTCCTGCCCGACATGTTATTAACTAGCCTGTGGAATAACCGCAGGTACCAGCCCTGGAAATTAGGGGCCATACACATGTACTTTAACTGCCTGGAAAACATGAGCTAGGCAAATTAAATTCCTACATGGTCCAGACATATAGGTTTTGATTTATTTTGACAAGATACAGCTCCTAATAGTTTCATGTTTGTTTAATTTTTAGTTTTCTTCTGCGGAGTGACCAATGAAATGTTGTCGACTAATGACCATTTTGGTTGACTAACATTTGGTCAACTGTTAGGGGGCAGCCCTATACACTACACACTAAATTGTCAGAATTTGTTGTCAGCCATGCACCCCATTTTTTCTGTCACATATTAGCCTTCAGAAATTTATAGTTAAAGGCGTTAAACACTCACACTTGGTTAAAAAAACACAAGAAGTATATTTCATCCTTGCATAAATGTTACCATTCCTGTGGCAGAGTGGATATGTCACATTTCCTCAAGGTGATTGACAGATGGACTGTTTGTCCTTGCAGGTTGCAGTCGTTATTTCTGGCAGGTGAACGCTGTGATGTGGAGACGCTGGAATGGGCAAAGAGGAGCTTTGGGGTTCCCGTCCTGGATCATTGGTGGCAGACTGGTAGGAAGCTTTGTACTTTCTAAAGACAGAAATCAGAGAGAGCGAGAGAGATCTGAATCTGACAACCGTGACTTTTACCTTGTTGATGCACTCTATTTGAAGCCACACTGGGGAAGATTTTGCTATAAATATAGAGTGCGCCTGTCTAATCTGATTGCATACATTTCCCTTTTAGCCTAAACTTGCATGTTGGACAGGAAGCAGCAAATTGAAAGTTGGAAACGAAATGCAAAGTGACTCTTGGATACCAGTGACTGAGCTTTGCAGTGAATGATGGACTCACTAACATTATGTTCTGTTCTGTCTCTTTTATCTCTCGGGTACAAAGCATCACATAACAGCCGGCCCAGCATACAGAGTGTGCAGTTCATGGACTTAGTGTTACAGTATTTCTGCTAGCTGAAGTTAAAATCTCTCAAACATTTATCCCGTACCATATGCTCAGTGTGAAGCTGCCTTGTGCAATTAATTATGTCAGTCTAGTAAGTTGAGAAGCACTTTACTCTCAAACTTTAGGGATTAAGCTCTTATGATATACACACTGAGAAAGCATTTCAAGGACCTCAAGTACTTTATTAGCATGAACTGTGTATAACGTTTTAATTTAACTTGATCTTTAAGTCTCGGTCCCATCTTAAGCTGATCAGTGTGAGAAGACTATAAATGTGGTATTTGCTGTATTTTATTAGTCCATTGACATTAAATTGGCCTTGAGAAGAGGCATAACTCCAGGAAATCACTATTCCCTCGAAAGCCCGTCGTCATTATGAAGCACATTTGATCAAACTCCCCTCTTTGATTAATCCCTTTTATGTTTTCTATGGTAGACCAGGGGATTGGATCCCTTCTACTGGAGTCATTATGACGCTAAAGACCCCAATGTTTGATTTTCTAAGCTTCCGTGAGAACTGATCATCACACAAAGTGACACCATTTGCACCAGTTATTTGAATAGCAGTCAAAGCTAGATAGGGGTGTGCAGATAGAGCAGATGGAAAAATAGCTGCGATAACTGGAGATCATTTTGGGGAAAAGACATTATTCCATTGACTTCAACCACCTCAGCAAATTTAACTTCTATATTTTCCAACCTGGGCCCTAGTTTATTATGGTTGTTTGTCAATAGCCCTATGCTCAAGGGACTTGTATTACCAGGGGACCTCATTTGATTTAGACATTACCCTGCCACATCTGTGTTTCGTGTGGTGCATTCACATTGGACAAGCAAAGTCTGTATTTTACTCAGATTTACTGACATTTTCCTTGGATATGATGCACGCAGTCATTTGTACCTGAAACACAGAAACACTGCACAGCACCACCACAGGTGTTACTCCTTTTTTCTTTTAAATGGCAGTTAAACAAGCACAACCCATTCTGCCACATATTGTCACGTTATCCATGTCATCATCTCTTGAGATTTCGCTTCTCTTAATGATTTGGGCAGCACAGTGGTGCAGTGGTTAGCATTGTCGCCACACAGCAAGAGGTTTCCATGTTCAAGTCCAGGGTGGGGGGTTCGAACCCCAGGCTGGGGGAGGCCTTCGGTGCAGAGTTTGCATGATCTCTCCATGTCAGTGTGGATTTTCTCTGGGTACTCTGGACGTGGAACCGTGGACCAGCTCTTTACCCTCGCCAGGGTGGTGGAGGGGGCATGGGAGTTCGCCCAACCAGTCCACATGTGTTTTGTGGATTTGGAGAAGGCTTACAACCGTGTCCCCAGGGGCATCCTGTGGGGGGTGCTATGGGAGTATGGGATTGGTGGCCCCTTGCTAAGGGCCATCCAGTCCCTGTACCGAAGGAGCACGAGTCTGGTTCGCGTGGCCGGCAGTAAGTCGGACCTGTTCCCTTGTGAGAGTTGGACTCCGCCAGGGCTGCCGGCCAAAGCGCCAGGGCGCAGCCAAGTGGTGGAGGGTGTCAGGTTCAGTGACAGGAGGATCTCGTCTCTGCTTTTTGCGGATGATGTGGTCCTCCCAGCCCCATCGAACAGTGACCTCCAGATCTTGCTGGGACGGTTCGCAGCCGAGTGTGAAGCGGCTAGAATGAGAATCAGCACCTCCAAATCTGAGGCCATGGTCCTTAGCTGGAAACGGGTGGATTGCCCACTCCAGGTCGAGGGGGGAGGTCCTGCCTCAGGTGGAGGAGTTTAAGTATCTCGGGATCCTGTTCACGAGTGAGGGTAGGATGGAGCGGGAGATTGACAGGCGGATTGGGGTGGCGTCAGCGGTGATGCAGGCGCTTAACCGGTCCGTTGTGGTGAAGAGGGAGCTTAGCCAGAAAGCGAAGCTCTCGATTTACCGGTCGATCTACGTTCCAACCCTCACCTACGGTCATGAGCTCAAGTGACCGAAATGAGTTTCCTTCGCAGGGTGGCTGGGCTCAGCTTTAGAGATAGGGTGAGGAGCTCAGACATCCGGGAGGGACGAGGAGTAGAGCCGCTGCTCCACATCGAGAGGAGCCAGTTGAGGTGGTTCGGGCATCTGGTAAGGATGTCTTCCGGACGCCTCCCTTGGGAGGTGTTTCAGGGATGTCCAACCGGGAAGAGACCTCGGGGCCGTCCCAGAACACGCTGGAGGGATTACATCGCCTGGCTGGCCTGGGAAAGCCTCGGGGTTCCCTTGGCAGAGCTGACGGAAGTGGCTGGGGAGAGGACTGTCTGGGCTTCTTTGCTGAGGCTGCTGCCCCCGCGACCCTGACCCGGATAAGCGGAGGACGACGAGTACGACGAGTACGAGTACTCTGGCTTCCTCCCACAGTCCAAAGACACCATGTTAGGTTGATTGGTGACTCTACAGTTTATGAGCCATAGGTATGAATGTGAGCGTGATCATCTTTCCACTGTGCCAACAATCACCAACTCTGGTTTTGTTGACATAAACCCTTAATTTATCTAGTTAGATGTGAAGATACACTTATTCAATTATTAACTTGGATTGCTAGCCATTAGTAGAAGAAGCAGAAGCAGAAGAAGAAGGCCCAGGAAGCAAACTGGCACCCCTCCAGCTACCAGTCCACGCTCCATATTTGGTCCAAACGGGTTCCCAACCCAAGCGCCTATGGACTTATCTACTGCCGCCCTGAGTAAGAAAATACATGAACATTCAACAACAAAAACCTCATACAACTCACCCAAAACCTGGATTTCCCTTACACCCCCCCACACCCCTAGACCCCCCCCCCCAATACCTTTACCGAAACCCCACAGCTTTAAAGGACAATCGCACTGACATCAGTCATAATAACTGACACTATAAACAGAGTAAGATATAGTAAGATAACATCAGGACTGTGATACATACAGCCATACATCAGATTACAGTTGACGTGTCACTAATTTCTTTGAATTTCTTCAAATAATCAACTTTATGAGTTGTTTTTTAAAACGAGCAAGATTTCAGGGGGAGCTTGGTAGCATTATTCCATTGAGTAGTAGCTCTGCAGAACACCAGGAGCAGGAATTACCTTATGACCCTGTGTTCCCTTTCTGGTAGTATGACCAAGTCTGTCATTGAAATCTTGGGTGTAAGCTTTTAGGCCTGGCCAAAGTACAAAAGTCCCGAAAGAAGACTAGGAGATTGCTCAAAAATCTTGTCCACCACTTTGAGCCAGAAGAGAGCATAATGCATGCCCTTGACAGGATGAGCAGTGAAGAGCCAGACGTGCAGCTTTGTTCAGCACAAATTGAGGTTTGTGCAAATCTCTTTTAGTCACACTTGACCAAACTACATAGCAACAAACCAGTGAGTGTAAAATATGTCTGAGTGATCAGACAGGAAATACACGCTCCTCCTGATGACAGACACTGCTCTGCCCATTTTGACAGCAGTATGTCATTAATATGACAAGACCAGGTAAATTTATGCTGGATTAAGCACTCTAAAGTTACGGTATATTTCAATGGAGTTTAGTTGGTTTGTTTCTGACAAAACAAAAAGAATCTTACTATTGAATAAAAGGTACCAATGGAACCGTTCTGTACTGTCCCCATTTTTGGTCCCCCCTCTGTTGGGGTACCTAGCACACAGATCTGGTACTAAAAGGTGGAGCTGTGAACACTGCAGTCTGATTGGTCAGTAGAGGACGGTCACTCTGCTCAGGGCTGAGTTGTGTCTGGTTTTGAGGCTCATGTAACCACTGTTCATACTGTGGAGAGTTTTATTAGTAAACTGTAACTATAAAATGAAAGGATGTTTTGCTGCCTCTCACAGCAGCTTGAGTCGGAGAAAAAATAACTTAAAGGGATAGTGCACCCAAAAATGAAAATTCAGCCATTATCTACTCATCCATATGCTGAGGGAGGCTCGGGTGAAGTTTTAGAGTCCTCACATCACTTGCGGAGATCCCAGGGGAGAGGGGGTAGCAACACAACTCTGAGGGCGCCTCAGATTCAAACGTCCAAAAACACATAGTTGAAACCACAAAATATCTCCATACTGCTCGTCTGTAGTGTTACACAATGCATGAGTTGATGACATGAATCTATCAACATACCTTAAATTTCAATTTGACACCTTTGACCATCACTTTAGTTTTTATTGTCTCCCTTGGATGACATATACTTTAATGAGTGGATCTTCAAGTGGTTATGTGAACTGCATATTCTAATCCTCACTTGGAGAAAAAAAAGCGTTGTGGAGTGTCGTTCCTGTGGGCTCCAGCAACACTAAACTCCCAAGCTTGCCTTAGAAGGGCTAAATGCACAAACCCTCCGTGGACGATAAACGAGATGCAGACTGATAAAGGAGGAAATACAGTGAGTGACAACAACTCTGCCGATATTTAAGAGTAATGTTTGTGGTGGAAACACTAGGATCTAGGTACCATGTCTGAAGGGTTACTTTTGGTTCCATACCATACTGAAAGTGTTTGGTGGAAATGGGGCTTTAGACACAAAACATGGGAAAATAGAATCCAGAAGTCAAGAATGGGAGTCAGGACTGTGCAGAGTGCAAAAATTAAAATGGAACATCTCTATTACCGCTGGACAAAAATCTATATGA